AAGCCCCTCTGGAGCCCCCCAAGCCCCTCTGGAGCCCCCCGAGCCCCTCCAAACCTGGGAGATGTTGATCTTGGAGCCTTTGGCCCCCGAGACCACCATGGACTTGAAGTTGTTGTACTCGGAGAGGGATTTCTGGGCGGAGGAGCCGGTCTTGTCTCGGGCGTCGTTGAGGATCCGGTTCACCTGGTTCTCGAAGGTCTGGCGCAGGGTGTTCCCCGGGGTGGGCTCCAGCTCGTTGTTGTGGGCCTTCTCGATCACCTGGCACCCCAAAAAAGGGGTCAGCAGGGCCCCCCAAAACCCCCCAAGATCCCACAAAATTCCTGGGAGCTCCTCGAGGTTCCCGAGGACTCCTCAAAGTGTCCCAGGGGAAGGGGTTGAGATGTTCCCAGGGGGCTCCAGCTCGTTGTTGAGGGGCCTTCTCGATCACCTGGCACCCTAAAAAGGGGTCAGCAGGGTCCCCCAAAATCCCACAAAACCCCTGGAAGCTCCTTGAAATCCCTTGGAACACCCCAAAATTCCTGGGAGCTCCTCGAGGTTCCCGAGGGCTTCTCAAAGTGTCCCAGGGGAAGGGGCTGAGATGTCCCCAGGGGGCTCCAGCTCGTTGTTGTGGGCCTTCTCGATCACCTGGCACCCCAAAAAAGGGGTCAGCAGGGCCCCCCAAAACCCCAAAAAACCCTGGGAGCTCCCCAAAATTCCTGGGAGTTCCTCAAGGTTCCCGAGGGCTCCTCAAAGTGTCCCAGGGAAGGGGCTGAGATGTCCCCAGGGGGGCTCCAGCTCGTTGTTGTGGGGCCTTCTCGATCACCTGGCACCCCAAAAAGGGGTCAGCAGGGTCCCCCAAAATCCCACAAAACCCCTGGAAGCTCCTTGAAATCCCTGGGAGCTCCTCAAAGTTCCCAAGGGCTCCTCAAAGTGTCCCAGGGGAAGGAGCTGAGATGTCCCCAGGGGGCTCCAGCTCGTTGTTGAGGGGCCTTCTCGATCACCTGGAATCCCAAAAAGGGACCCCAAAACCCCACAAAACCCCTGGGAGCTCCTCAAGATTCCTGGGAGCTCCTCAAAATTCCTGGGAGCTCCTCAAGATTCCTGGGAGCTCCTCAAAGTGTCCCAGGGGAAGGGGCTGAGATGTCCCTGGGGGGGCTCCAAACCAACCCCCAGGATACTTTAGGGTGCTCCTGGGGTGTCCAAAGGTGTCACCAGGGCTCCCCAAAATCTCTGGGAGCTCCCCAAAGTTCCTGGGAGCTCCTCAAGGTTCCCGAGGGCTCCTCAAAGCGTCCCAGGGGAAGGGGTTGAGATGTCCCTGGGGGGGAATCCAGAACTCACCCAAAAAGTCCCAGGAACCCTGGGAGTGATCCCAGACACCCCTAAAACCCACCAGAGACCCCAAAATTTGGGAGAGTCCCCCTAAAAACCCCCCTTTGAGGGACCCCCCAGGACCGGGCTGGTCCCCAAATCCCACATTCCCCCCAAAATGTCCCAGGAACCCTGGGAGTGATCCCAGACCCTCCCTAAAGCCCACCAGAGACCCCAAAATTTGGGGGAATCCCCCCAAAACCTCCTCCTTTGAGGGACTCCCTCCCCAACTCCTTGGGACCGGGGTGGTCCCCAAATCCCACATTCCCCCCAAAAGGAACCCCCTGGTTGAGATCTGGCATCACTTGGGGACCCCCAA